GATTTGGACGGATATGGGAACTGAGTGAAGATTTTTCACTTTATGTGAGTGGTAGTCTGCCACACTCGTCTTCTTTTAGTAACAGAACCTTCCAAATTTTAGATGGACACATGGATGCCCAGCTAAAGGCCACATTTCCCAGATTCCCTTGCTACTTATGTGTGCCTAGTAACCAAGAACTGGTCAATGGAATGTGAGCAGAGGTGGTGTGTTCAACTTCCAGATCCCGGAAGTTCCAGATCCCGGAAGTTGAACATACCACCTCTGCTCACATTCCTTGGAGCCAAGGTCTTTCCCTCTTCCTACAGGCTGGAAAACGACAATGTAATGGGGAGACAGCTTCTACCATGTGGATAAGACAACACTCTAGAAAATGACATAATGTAAGACTGAATGACTCGGGTCCAAGAATGACCAGTGGAACAGAACCACCTACCCACAATGAACTACTACGACTGCCATGCTGGAAAAGCTATAATTCTATCTTACTGTGTTACAGTATTGGGGGTCTCTTCTTCATTATAGCAAGGTAGCCTATACTCTAAAAGCCAAAAACGATACCTGGAAATGAGTTACTACAGTATCAAAAACCATATTGAGACACTGGCTTTGTTGCTGGAAGGGGAGGGTGGTGAGAAAATAGATACTGCAGACTAGAAAGCTGGCAACCCTTGTTACACTTGTAGCAAAACATCTGCTAAAACTTCAGTAACTTGAGACCCTGTGTCCTCTGAATTTGTAGCTTTAAGGGGAAGCAGTTGGAAATAGAATGCAGGTGTGTGCTGGCTGCCCCTTATATGCTTTTAGTGAGCTATTACAAGAGTAAGATAAAAACAAGGAAGAACTGGCTGGTTTGCAAGGAAAAACGGAATACAATACAGCCTACTAAGGGTCATGTGTTTTAAATTTGGCAATATAAATCCATTGAGATTTCAACAATTTGGGACCCCATAGGGCTGGAAAAGTCAATGCTACTGTACCCCAAAAGCAGGAGACAGGAGTCTCTCTCAGGGCATCTATGAACGTCTGCAGTTTAGTATTCTTGGGCACACAAGGGAGTCAGCTTATTTACAAAGATCAGATTTACGGAATCACCTCAAGGAAGTCATTATGAAAATGAGGGAGAAAGGGATCGGCCAAAAAGAGAGGCCAGTAACTATAATTCAGTCTGCTAATTAAAATCCATGACCCAAAGAAGATCTTTGGCCATGGATACTGTTACCTGGAACTGACTGGAAGCAAACCAGAAGTCAATTTAGTTTTTGAGGGACATGTATTGTCACATGCTTGGCTTATAAAAGCCTATGACTTCTTGACCCCAAAATCTATACCAGCAGGAAAGGTGTTCTAAAGCTGTACAGCCTCAAGAAGGGCAGGTTCTCCAATGCCCACTGCAGATGTGGTTATGGAGGAAAATGAAGAAAGAATCTTCTAGAAGACAAAGCCAAGTACCATGGAGGAAAATGGACAGGGGATTCTACACAACAGAACCAAAGTTGAACCAACAGCATACTGACTCTGCAATTCCTGCTCAGCAGAATTTCACTGTTGTTATGAACTAGTGACCATACATATTTCTCATTCTTCCCTTTTCCAAACAGGAGTTTGTATGGTGGTTCCTACTTCACCTCCTTTATTGCATTTGGGAGGTAGGGAGTACAGGGACTTGTCTATTCTTTCATAAGTTTTCAGGGTAAGAAGAACCATGCCCTGGCCTAATGTAAAGAACTACTGCACACCACAGAGAAATCCTAGATTTTAGACTGGGAGCATGAACTGAATGAGACTCTATGACGTCTCCTTTGGGGTGGGAGGAATGGCCTTTACAAGTGGGAAGAAGAGTACACATGGATACCTGAGTGGCCAGAGGGGCAAACTGAGGCAGAAGCTGTTGACTTCTCAAAGTCAAGCCTTCCCTTCTTCCTGTCTGTAACCAATGCCCCAGAGTTCTAACTGGTCACAGGGTCACCCACCTAGTAGTGATGCTTCCCAGTCTGCTTTGCTGTTGGGTGTGTCTCTGTGATTGAGAACTTGACAATGGAATATGAGAAGTGAGATATGTAAATTCTAGTCTTTCCCTCTTCCCTATGAGCTGAAATGCAAACATAATAGCAGTGAGCAGCTTTCAACACTTGGGAAAGAGCACCTTGCAATACAAAACCATTCTTAGGATATGGTAGAACAAGAGATGAATATGGGTCCCTGAACAATTGTATGGAACAGAGCAGGCTACCTAACTTGACCACCTGCTTACCTCTATGCTATGACATGAGCCATAATCTTTTATCTTAATCGGGCCATAGTAATTTTGGGCCTCTGTTCTTGCTTTTAGCCAGGACCCTAACTAATATAATAACACCTTAAAATTTTTGGATTTTGAACCATGAGACTGTGTTGCCTACTTGGACAATTAGCTTTTTAAAAGGAATAATATTGTTTTAAAAGTGTCAAAATCCCAATAAAATGGTCTTTTTTAAAACTTCATAATATTACTTCTGAGACAAAAAAGAAAAAACTGAGGAAATATTTTGAATACAGAAAAAGATATATGTGCAAATGTATTTTCCACAGCTCCAAAAGGTAGAGGAGCAGCTAAAAAAAAATAAACAGTTAATAGAAACATGCTGCATGTTCAGCCACAGAGAATAACCAATAAATGTATGGGACAGCTCCAGCAATAAAGAGCTATTAAAATAATCATCAAAATGACAAACATGGAAGACAATGGGGAGAAAATATATGCATGACAGGCATTCCTGGAGAAGGAAAAACCAGAACGCAAAAGTTAAATATTTTATTACAGAAGAAAAAGTTCTTAAAATTAAAAATTAAAAATAAAAGACCTATCTATTGAGCAAAGGGGACAAACTATCCCAGAACATTCTGATACGAACTAATAAACATTTGACAAGTTCAGGCCAGGCGCGGTGGCTCACACCTGTAATCCCAGAGCTTTGGGAGGTCGAGGCAGGCGGATCACGAGGTCAGCGGTTCGAGATCAGCCTGATCAACATGATGAAATCCCGTCTCTACTTAAAAAAAAAAAAAAATTAGCCAGGCATGGTGGCGGGCCCCTGTAATCCCAGCTACTCAGGGGGCTGAGGCAGGAGAATCGCTTGAACCCAGGAGGCAGAGGTTGCAGTGAGCCAAGATCACACCACTGCACTCCAGCCCAGGTGACAGAGCAAGACTCCGTCTCAAAAAACAAAAGCAAAAACAAACAACAAAACAAAACATTTGGCAATTTCAGAAACAGCACAGACAAAGATAAACTCTATAGGTATCTGGATGGAGAAACTTCTCCAAAAGGACTAATTTCAGATAACAGTAGAACAATATCCATAGCATCCTGAGGGGAAGAAGAAAGCATTCAAGAACTGTACAACCAGCTGAGGATAAAGGGAACAGGCCAACAGTATTGATCATGCAAGATCCTTTCAAAGAAAGAAACGCATTTGATGGTAAAATTCAACCATTCAAGAATTTTTTCATTTTTTTATTTACTTTTATGTTTTAGACAGGGTCTTGCTCTGTTACTCAGGCTGGAGTGCAATGGCACAATCATAGCTCAGAACTTCTGGGCTCAAGCCATCATCTCACCTCAGCCTCCTAAGTAGCTAGGACTACAGGTGCACACCACCATGCCTGGCTAATTTTTTTGTTTCTGTAGAGTTGGAATCTTGCTTTCTTGCCCTGGCTGGTCTTGAATTCCTGGCTTCAACTCATCCTCCTAAATTGATCCTCCTTGGCCTCCTAAAGTGCTGGGATTACAGGTGTAAGCCACCATTCCTGATCAATTTTAATGTTTATATATTGTTTCTCAGTAAACAATTGTTACATTTTGTCACATATTGTCACATTTTTCATAATCTTTTTTCTTAATTTTGGAGGAATATTTCAATGAATAGTGTATCTTACTGTGAAAAAATATTTACTTGAAGTTATAAGTAAAATTATGTTTAATATATGTCATTAACACAGCCTGTTATTTGAGAAAATTAAATCTATAAAATATTAATCCTATTTTTGTAAAGATATTTGTATTCTACAATCACATTCATGGAATATTGTCAATGGATATCTGTGAGTGTTACTATTTGAGAGGATTTTTAAAAATCCTTTGTACTTTCATATAAATTTTTAAATAATAAACATGTTTTTTCCACAAACAACAAAGTTCACACTTTCAAAGCTGAAGATCACAATTATGTTGCATAAAAATGTTTAAAGTGATAAATTTTAAAAGTATAGACTATAAAAGTATATATTATATATACTCAAATATGTATTTTAAACGTACACACATACACAGAAAAGAAGTGGTAACATTTTGTCAGTGCTTCAGGGATTGGGGATAAATTTTCCCCTCAAAATCTGAAATCTGAAATGTAATTAGGTTACTTGCATGATGAAAAAAATGTTAAAAATTTTTTTGCTGTTAAAAATGCTCTTCCTATCCCAGGCAACTTGGCTCACGCCAAGCTCTTTGGCGGGCTGAGGCAGGAGGATCACTTGACTCCAGGAGTTCAAGACCAGCCTGGGCAATACAGTAAGAGCCTGTCTCTATCAAAAAAATATTTTTTTTTAAGTTCTCTTCCTATTATCCCAATCATAGTAAGAATCCCAATAATAAAAAGAGTAGGCTTTTAAAAAGTTTAGGATTTCTTTGCCAACTTGGGGCGAGGAGGTAACTATTGTGGCTTTGAATAAACAAAGATCATGTACCTGTCAACAAATGACTTAATTTAAAAAAGTGATGGCAGTATTAAATCCAAACTGAAGGCAGAATATACCCCGGCTTTCATTATAGAGTGAAGACTCATCATGCAGGACGTTGGCTGAAATGAAAGGACACTACCCGAGGCGTGAAACATCGCCATGGATGTTCTTGGAAAGACATCTGCTGCTCTGGCACGCAAGTGCTGTCTCCGAGGGCTCGTGCCATATGCACCAGCTGGTGGATCCTGTTGCCTCCCTGCACATGTACGGAAGCCACGTACCGAACCTGGTTCTCCAAGAAGTGCATGTAGCGGTAAAGCAGCGTGTAGGAGGGAGAGAGGATGCCCACAGACTTCATCCGCGCGCCACGTTCCAGCTCGCTCTCCACTGGCATGTTGGCAAAGCAGGCCAGGCCGAAGAAGGGCCCCTTTCGGAAATAGCTAGAAGAGACCAAATACATAGCATGGCTCAAGATCAGAGAGGAATTTTGAGATGCAATCCTAAACAAAACAAATGAACTGTGTCCAGGGCTGTCAATGACAAAGCTCAGCCTCAAAGAAACAAGTAGGCCAAGCCACTTGACCTCACCGACGAGACGAGCAAGGCTTGAAGAGATTATAGAACTTGCCAAGGGTCACCTGGCTGGAGCTGGGAGTTGGTCCCTGGCAGGTCTGCTGCTCAGCTGCCCGCGATCATGGGACACATCTCTTCTCTCCTGCACCACAACTAATGACTTGCATGGGAGAAGCAGAACCGACATGCCTCCTTAGGCTCCTCTCGAACTAAGACTCTCTTTCGTATCATAAACCGCGTTGATTCTTCCCTCACTTCCTGAGGCTCTGATGTTTTTCATTGAGCTGCCGTTTTATTTTCTCCTTTCTCACACTTGTATCAGTCATGAATTCAGCCCCATGAGGAGATTAAAGCCACTTCATTACCCTTAAGGTCTTTCCATCGTTCCTTCTCACAAAACTCTCTGAATGCGCCACTACACAGGACTAAAAAATGGCCTGACTTAAAGCTGGAATTTCAAGGTTGAACACATAGATGTCCTCAGTTAACTCACACGGGGCTGAAACTGTGCACTTTCATTAAAACCAAACCTCAGGTGAGGCCCATGTAATTTCTGAGACACTGAGAGAACCTCTACAGGTAGGGATTCTTAAGATTTGTAGGTCATGAAGCCCATTGAGAACCTGATGAAAGCTAGACATCTCGCTAGAAAAATGATGTGAACACAAAACTATCCATGTATTTTCAAGGCATTTACACACAGCACATGAAGACCTCCTAATAACAGCCCTTCTGCTTTGGGGAACGTGTGGAGATGGGGGGAATGGTACGAAGAAGACTCCAGTTCAGAAGTACTTACATGAAATCAGATTGGATTTTATGGGACCCACTGGCCATAGACTTGAACTCAACACCTTCGAGGTCAATATCTTGAGGTAAGCACCATTCTACCATGTTCCCTGTAGGAAAAGGAAGATGCAACATCATTCAAAGAAAATGGGTTAGTACAGGGCTTAGCACACATGGCTTCTCAATAAACCGACTGCTGACTCAGCCTGACACAGACCAGCGAGATGCTCAGAGCTCAGCTCCTCCATCACCGGCAGGGGTGACACCAGAGGACCCGGAGATGGACACTGAAGGAACCTCCCATCTCTGCCCTCAAACACTGTTCTCCTCCCTCAGAAGGATGCTGCCTTTGATTCTGTCATTCTGCTCAACCACTTCCAAATCTGCCTTTCGTGGCCTCACTTCTCTGCATGTTTTTTTAACCTTACGCCCTCATTTCCTTATCTCGTGTTCTCTCCTTAATCCCTTGAGATCTTGATTCTATCTATAGCCACTAATGACTGGGAAAAATCCCAAAACATTTTTTAAATTCTCATTCTCATTCACCTCTAGATAGGATTTGCTAATTCCTCAAACATTTCTCCTCTTTTTCCTAGATTTCCATCATAGAATACTATTTTAGTGCTTTTCCTACCTCTTTGACCAATGTAACTCTGTTTCCCTCCCCCTCTCTCTCCTAAGTGAGGTCCTTCTTCAAGGGCCAATGATATTTGCTTCCACAATTCTGGGACTCATTCACTCATCATTAATTATTTGGTTTCTCCTGAGCCAGATGCTGGAGATACAAAATCCCTGACCTCAGTGAGATTAGATTCCTGAGAGAAATGAGGAGATCTAGAGGAGATTAGCAGTTATAGTGCAGGGGGATCAATGTTATGACAGAGGATAAGGTGCGATTTTTTTTTTTTTTTTTTGAGACGGAGTCTCACTTTGTTGCCCAGGCTGGAGTGCAGTGGCACAATCTCGGGTCACTACAAGCTCCACCTCCCAAGCTCAAGGCGATTCTCCTGCCTCAGCCTCCCGAGTAGCTGAGACTACAGGTGTGTACCACCACACCCAGCTTTTTTTTTTTTTTGAACCAAGTCTCCCGCCTGTCACCCCAAGGCTGAGTGCAGTTCACATCATTGCTCAACCGCAAGCCTCTCTCCGGGTTCACGCCATTCTCCGCCCTCAGCCCTCCATAGCTGGACTACAGGCGCCCGCCTCAACCGACCGCCCAGCCTAATTTTGTATTTTAGTAAGAGATGGGGTTCACCATGTTGCCTAGGCTGGTCTACAACTCCTGGCCTCAGTGATCACTCTGCCTCCAAAGCTCCCAAAAGTGTTGGGATTCAAGGCGTGAGCCACCAGACCGCCAGGCCAAGGTAGGGATCTTTAAAAGTACAAAGCATGCCTCAGGCTGTGGCAATCAGGGAACCTACACCCAAGTACAAGTGTTATCTGGAGCCTTTCAAGAGAATGCTATAAGAATACCCCTCTTTGTTTCCATGCATATTCAAAAGGGTTTTAAGCAAAACACTAAAGCTACCTTGTGAGATTCATGGTGCAGAACAAACTTCTTAAATTAACACCCAATCCTAAATTTGCTAGCATTAGAAAACCATCCATAAATCAGCAAACAACACTTTTCAGATAATTGTTCAGGGCATCAAGGAATTATACATCTAGTCCAGGACATGGTAGTTATCAGGCAGACACTGCCCGAATCCCACACTCTAGCCAGCCACAGGCACGTTCCAAATAGTTTATTTACAAAAAGAATGATTCCATCATTAGTCAATTCACTAAAGTATAGAGCATGAAAAAGGATTAAGAGTCCATAAACACAAAGGCTTTTGAACGATGTTATGTTTTACAGGGTCCAAAGAGTAAGAAAAGTACTCCAGAAAGAAGGTGACCTTGGGGCATAAGATGAGCTTTTAAGCACCAAGTTCCCCACGGCTTTCTTATATTTTCCCTACCATACCATTTCTATACCTCTACATCCATGATTTTTTCCCTGTGGCATGCATCCAGGCCCAGGCTAGCGAGCTTAAAAGGTGCCAGGCTACCTAGTCCTACAGAATCACCATCTTCCTCCACAGGTGATTCCCTGCTGATCCTGGCAGCGAACAGCCCTGCTTGGCTTCTGTGTACATGCTCCTCCACCCTTCCCAGTGGCATATAGCTCACGGAACGAAAGGACCCAGTCTGGACAGAGCTACATGAACCTTGATAGGCTCTTCCTCCCTCATACGCAACCAACCGCTTCTCTAATAACACTGCCTTGTTACCCACATGGCACACATTCTGGGTTCAGCTACCTCAAAACTTACCTTCTTCTCCTCCAACCCAGCCTGCTCATGACTACCCAGTGTCTTAAACTTTATTTACCCAAATGTTATATTGAAGTATAGCAATAAGTATAGAAAAGTGCCAAGATGTCATTGCAGCACTATTCACAAATGCAAAGGCAACCACCCAAATGCCCACCGAGGGCAACTGAGAAAAACGTGGTACACACCACAGAATACCATGCAGCCACCGACGGCAGACTGGATGAAGAAAACGTGGTACACACCACAGAATACTATGCAGCCATCGACGGTAGACTGGATGAAGAAAACGTGGTATGCACACCACAGAATACTATGCAGCCATAAAACGGAACGAGATCACGTCCTTTGCAGGGACATGGATGGAGCTGGAAGCCATTATCCTCAGCAAACTAACATGGGAACAGAAACCCAAACACTCCATGTTCTCACTCATAAGTGGGAGCTGAACAGTGAGAACACATGGACACAGGGAGGGGAACAACACATACCAGGGCCTGTCGGTGGGGAAGGGGAAGAAAAAGCATCAGAATAAATAGCTAACGCATGAAGGGCTTAATACCTAGGTGATGGGTTGAGAGGTGGAGCAAACCACCATGGCACACGTTTACCTATGTAACAAACCTGCACATCTGCACATTTATCCGGGAACTTAAAATTTTAAAAAAAGGAAAGTGCACAAAGTACAACTCAATGGATTTTCCCGAAGTAAACATATTTGTGTAAGTAGCACCCAGATTAAGAAGCTGAAAGAACATTATTTGTACATCAGAACCCTCCCTCATAGAGCCTCCAAGTCATTAACCCTCTCTCATGAATTAGCTTAGCCTCTTCTGAGTTCCTACAAATGTAATTATAGTTTATATTCTTTTATGTCTTTTATGTCATCCATGCTGATGTGTGTAGCCATAGTTTGTTCATTTAGTGCTTCTATCATATGCATGTAGCAGTTTACCTGCTTAACTGGTGATGTGCATTCAGGTTACTTCCAATGTGAAGTTACAGCAACGGGCACTGCTGTAAACAATCCTGTATTTGCCATCTGCTGTAATAGTGTAAAGTGGCATTGTAATGCATTGACCTGGTTGGGCTGAACTATCCTCCTCAGAATTTCCCTTCTTTGCATGCTTCCAGCTGAGATTTGGAAGTGAATCAATAGCCACGTTATGTTTGCATCTGTAAGGTCGGTGCAGAAGGTCCACTGCATAGCTGCTTCTCTGCAGGCTTACCACAGTGGTGAGGGGCAGCAGCCAGCCCTGACGATGCTGCAGCCACCATCCCTTGATCTTCCTTCAGCTTCTCTGACTCCTAAGCCAGGTGTGTGTTTAGTTCCATAATAACGGGCAACAGCTTCTCCTTAGGAGACACCCACATCACCAAAGCTGGATACAGTAACAGCCTGATCCAAGTTCCCATCTATCTTCATGAGTTTCAGCTTCTTATTCTTCCTCTTCCTCCTGCTTCTCCTCTTCCTCCTGCTTCTCCTCTTCTTCTTCACAGGTTTACTCTCTTCCTTCATAACTGTCTGCCCAGTAGACTTCAAATTCCAACAGCAGACACAAATAACAGCCTTATATAGATTGTCTAACAGCTCCCACAGTTGCATAAAACCAAATCCCTGCAACAAACTCCTTTATGTATCTCCTAGTTTTTCTGTTTCTTTGATTGAACTTTGACCATCACAATATGCACATTTCTACTACATCCCTAGGAATAGAATTGCTTTAAGAATGTTTGCATAACTGCAAACTAAGACACTCTCAACGATTCCCAAAGTAGTATTTCCCAAGCTTATGTTAATAGGGCTTCTGCAAAAAAGAAAACAAAATTTTGTGAAATGTCTGTTTTTTTGGTCAAGTTATCTTAGCTTAAACAAACCTAGACACATTCCTCTATTGCAGAACTTCTCAGAGCCTTTAATGTGCCACTCTGCATCGTGAATCTCCATGAGATCAATACAGTGCTTAATGTTTCCCCAAATTATCTTTTTTAAAGGAGTATCTTAAGATTTTTTAAAGGAGTCTCTTAAGATACTCATTTTATAGAAGGCATTTTTTTAAAAAAAGAAATATAGGTATATCAGGTATGCAAGCTGTCCTTCAATATCCACTCTTCCCTTCTTATATTTATTATATATTAACAGATTTATATATTATATATATATTAACAGATTTATTAAGGGCATGCATGTGTTTAAAAAAACTGATGAATTAGTGTTAATTACCCTAGAAATAGTAATAATATTGTAGTTATATAGGAAAATGTTCTTATCCTTAGAAGGTTTATACTCAAACATTTAGGAGTCACATATTATCATATCTGTGACTTACTTTCAAACGGTTCAGGAAAAAAAGGCATATCCAGATCTGTATATAGTCAGTTCTACTTTTATCACTTACTGGATTTGTGTCAATGCAACAGATGCACTTGAGAGCAATTTGAGCAAAGGGAATTTCATATTCACTTATGCTATAGACTCAATGCAATCCCGATCAAAATCCCAGCAAATTATTCTGTGGATATTGACAAGTTAATTCCAAAGCTTACATGGAAAGGCAAAAGACCCCAAATAGCCAACATAATACTGAAGAAAAATAAAATTAGAAGATGAACAGTGCACCCAACTTCAAGGCTTCTTATAAAATTAATCAAGAGAGTAGGTATTGGTGAAATATCAGACAAATAGATTAATGGAACAGAATACAGAGGCTTGAAACAGACCTACACAAATAAATCACGTAATCTTTGCCAAAGGAACAAAGGCAACACAACGGAGAAAAGATAGTCTTTACGAT